GGATTTTTTATATACTACACATATATCAAAACTGTAATTCTTCTCTACCTAACTTATTAAAGTCATATAGAGTGAACTAATAGAATATTCACTTTTCTTGTATTCACTGCAACTAGCAAGTAAGTTTATTCAGGTATACACAAATACAGTTACATAGAATTATCATACATAGCAGCACATGTGTAGAGAACCCAAAAAAGTCAGAGTGACTTATTTCCATTGGGGTCCTTTTACCTTATTATTATATTATAAAGGTTATAATATTTTCTTATTATTCTATAATGAAGATAACATCTTATCATCATACTAAAAAGACTATCTACTACACGAGGGTCATTAAGACTATCTACAATACGAGGGTCATTACTAGGAATAAGGTAAAATTTACACGTATGTTAGCTAAAAAATAGAAAATCATTCCCCTCCCTTTCTGTAGCTACATTCATCAGACACCTTTTGGCACTCTTCTTGAACCGGTTCATGCTATGACTGGCTTTGACATGTGTGGGCAGTCTGTTCCATTCCTTTATTGCTGTACAATAAAAGGTGTTTAAAGCCTGGCCAATGACTGTGGGTACTACAAAGTTGTGCTCTCTCCCCCTAGTACTATGATTGCTTTGGTTCCCAACCTTGACAAAATTGGCAGCAAGATATTCTTGACACTGTTTGTGAGCAATTTTATAAACATGATTTAGCTTCAGTTGTTTTACTCTGTCTTCAACATTCAGCATATCCAACTGCTGTAATTCATTCTGGCCTACATGCTCTCTTGGTCCCATCCCCAGGATGAATCTTACGATTTTGTTCTGGGTGATTTGCAGTCTATCTTTCAGTTTTTTGTCAAGGCAGAGTACCATGAAGACAAGTGTAATCCATATGGCATTGTATAAAGGCTAGACATAGGGCCCTGCAAGCCTCAGTAGGTAGACACTGTGGTTGTCTATACAGGAACTTCAGTCTGGCATTCGCTTTCTTTACTACACTGTTCCCTATCAATTCTCCTGACAGGGCATGGGTCAAAGGGATTCCCAGATTTTACCTGATGAAACCAAAAGTGAACGGACTCCCCATTACACTGGACATTAAAATTATTTACCCTTCTCAGTTTATGTTTCGTGCCAAAGAGAATGGCTTCAGTTTTCCCGAGGTGTAATGATAGTTTGTTGTCTACTAACCATTTGTTGCAGGACTCCAGTTCCAGTGTTAAAACATTAGCTATATCTTGTGGCTTTACCTGACACTAACAAAGCACTGTCATCTGCATACATAGGAGTTTGCACTTGACACTGATAGGCAAAGTCATTGACATAACATAAGAATAATAAGGGACCCAGAATACTACCTTAGGAAACTCCACATGCTATCAGCAGGGGTTCTGATTCCATTTTGTTGATTTTGACAATTTGTCTCCTGTTGTTAAGGTAGGGCTTTAAAACCCGTCTACAGAACCTATACCGATAGCTTGAAGTTTCTTACATAATATGTTGTGGTTGACAGTATCGAAGGCCTTTTGCAGGTCTAAGGTTACCATACCTATGAGGTTCCCCTTTGACATTTCAGTTCTCAGGTAATCCATCAGATTAATTAGGGAGGTGCCGGTTGGGGTAAGATCTTCTAAAGCCCCCACTGATAGCTATGGAGAATGTTGTTTTTTCATTAAGGTACTTAACTACTTGAGAGTACACCGCCCTCTCTAGAATTTTGCATATTATACTGAGTATACTAACAGGCCTATAGTTGCTTACATCAGACCTACTATTTTTCTTGAATATAAGAGTAACTCTGGCCTCCTTGAACCCATCCAGTACGGTATTAGTGGTGATTGATAGATTTATTATGTGAGCAATAGGGATTGACAGTTCAGAAGCACCATCTTTTAGGAACTTAGACGGGATGTTATCCAGGCCAGTGCTCTTAGTTGGGTTTAGCCTGCTTAGTTCTTTTTGAATAAAGTCATGAGATACACTTACTAGTTGACAACTGTTTGGGGTTACCCCTTTATTGGTATAGTATGTTTGAAACTTATCAGAGTCTGTGTTAAAAGTATTTGATGCAGCTGGTAGTTTACTTACTAGTGTTGATGCAACAGATGTGTAGAAGGAATTAAAGCAATTTGCCACCTTAGATGTTTTGTGGCATACCTTGTTATTGATAGTGAGTACTATGTTAGACCTATCAACTGGCTTAGGGCTATACCCCAACTTTTTTTAGTTGTTGCCAGAGCTTTCTGGGGTTATGCTTATACTCTTCAATTTTTGAACAACAGTGCTTTGCCTTTGCTCCTTTTATAAGTCTCTGCACTCTGTTCCTCACCCTTTGGAATTCATTTAGTGCTGTAATATCCTGTCTGTTTGCTTTAAATCTTTTTAGCAGCTGGTCTCTGAATTTCACATTATCTAATATCTCAGTAGTCATCCAGGGTTCAGTTCTTCATTTAATCCTAACCTCTTTAACTGGTGCAATATTATCTAGAATGGTAGTGAACATTGTTTTGAATTTTTCCCAGGCATCATTTACATCCGTGCAACTTGTTATCACTGTCCAGTCACAATTGTGTAGCCTATTTACCAGTGTTTCTTTACTGTAGTTTCTAGTTGACCTCATTTTTCTTGTCCTGTGTAGGCCTATCCTATCCCTAGTGATTTTCCTAGTGCAATAAATGATGAAAATGACACTAAGGCCTGTGGTAATGACGCCTGACTGACTAATGTTCTCAGAGCGGTGTACAAAGTATATGGTCAATTAGGGTGGCTGAGAACTGTGTGATCCGGGTTGGTGTATTAATTAGTTGAGTGTAACTATTGAAACCTAGAATTTGCTTATACCTTTTGCATAGCCCGTTATTTTGCTGCTGAAAACAGATATTGAAGTCTCCCAGTATTATTGTCTCGCAATTGTTTTCAAGTCCAGACAATACTCTGGAAAAGTCTTCTATGAACTGGTCCTGGGTAGGAAGGCAGTAACTAGTTCCTACTAAGATGGGTTTGGTCTTGGGAAGCAGCACTTCAAACCATAGAATCTCCAGTTTATTGTTATTTAAATCAGGTCTTGGGTTGTAAGTCATTTCTAATGTAGTCACATACTCCACCACCCTTTCTGTTCCTATCTAAGCATTTTATATTGTAACCTTCTATTTTGACCTCATCCAACCAGGATTCAGAGATGGTTATACCTGCCACCCTAATTTTGTTAGCTAGAATCCTAATCTCTGCCAATTTAGGAAGAAGTGATCTTGCATTGACATGAATGAAGTGAAGGCCTGTTTTCATAAAACAATTATAATCACCAATATATGGCAATGGGTCATATGTATTAAAATTAGGTAAATCAATGTCATCACTGCTAAAGGGTAACTGTGCCAAAGTGCATTTGTTACACACAAAGTGAATTCTGGCACTGTTACTATAATTGTACATACATCCATCATGCACCCACCCCTTACACATTTTACAAAAGGTGCCTTTTCTGTTTTTCATGCATACTTTAGTACAGTGTATGCACCTGTTTGGTAGTGTTTGAGATAATGGCTGTATTGTCTCACACTGACCTATGTATATATTACATATGGAGTTAAGGTTATCATTCCTAGCTACTAGACCATCATTATCACCGACATTTATCTGTCTGTTTTGCCTCTGCACAATAGTTTGAGGTCCTGGATTAATTTGGATATCACCACTTAACAGTGCCACTATAAGAGCTGTGTGCCACTGTTTTTGTTTGGGTATGAGGTGTTGCCATACCTTGCGGCGATAGTGACATTTACTTTTCTGGTAGGATAGCAACTGTTGGGCTTTTACTGTCCAGGGTGCTGTTACTCCATTCACCTTTTCCAGCCCCCATGACTGATTTCTTTCTTCATGGAATTGAAGAAGAAAGATCAATATAATTATGGCAGCCTGTACCCCCCTAATGCCTGCCATTTTCACTCTTCGTTCTTTTACTCATATATAATAATATTTATTTCTCTTTTCCAGTCACCTAGTACACCCTAGTATCTGCTTTAGCAGTCACCACTGAATTACTAGTAAATTTTCTTCTTCAAAACCTTCTTCACTGTTCACTTTTCCCTTAACTTCACAAATCCCTTTCAGTTAACCCCTTATTACACACTCCCCTTCCTGTCTCACCTCACAGTCCAGTTTCACCTATTAACTTCTAACTCCTTTCCATTCTGGTAGACCAGAAAGGTTTAATCAATGGTTTTATCCTTCCAAATCCCCTCAATTCCATTTATCAGGGTTTGTGTCGTGTTGTTGACTCCTGACCTCGTCTGCTGACTCAGCCATTTTTAAAACACTGAGGGAAGTAAACGCCACCTACAACCTGACTTTTCTTGAGTTTATAGATATATTTGGCGTTTTATCCTATGATTCTCTCACTGGTCAGCTGAATATAGGTCAGCTACTAAAATATTAACCTTGGCTGTTTAACAATTCACTTCTTTCCCACAACTGGCACTGAGGGATAACCATCCTATAACCTAGGAGTTTTGTATTGTTGATTTGATGATGTCTCCTGTGTTTCCCTCTCGTTAGCACTGGTACAGGTGATGTGATGGTGATACAGATATGATGCTACTGTCAGTACAGATGAACGTCAGTAAAGATGAACATATTTACAATGAACATATTTACAATTACAAAACACTGTTATTGCCTTATCAATCTTAAGTTAGTCTCAAGTTTGACCGAAATGCTGTGCATATAAAGGGGCTTATGGCATGTTCACTCAATTGTTACACTCCTTTGTACAAACACGTATCATGCTAAAATAAAATTATTATTATAGAACATTTAGGTGGCTACATCTAGGGTTATTTTACATGACTGAGAAGCAGGTACTGTATATCACCTACAGGGAAATTCCAGTACCAAACAATTCAATGTATTGTATAACAGTCAGACTACTGATTAAAAAAAAAAAAAAAAAAAAAAATTGTAATCACTGAGCATGCACAATACCCTGCCTAGTACTTAATGGGTTAAGTCTCAACTAACCTGGCTTTTCCAATATGTGAGTGTACCATCCTTGAGAACAAAGTATCTTTTTTTCCATGTCTTAAGTTTCCCTCCAAGCTTAGTTAAGTAGCCCATTTTCTCCAAGGAGCTCTCTCGACGTGGTGAAATTGTGCCAATACTGAGGAAGAAAACAAAGGTGTAGCTAAGAAAAACATTTTCTTAAAAACATGATCTCATGGTAAATGATACAGCTTAATAACGTAACTTTTCAGGTAGCTTTAGCCTTATCAAAGCAAACAATGCTTCAAATGCCCCTTCAAAATTTTGTAGCACTTTAAGGCAGTTGAAAAATTCTTCCATCTAAAAGCAAGGAATCACGAAGAATAAATAATGAACTAAAAATATCAAGACAAATTATCTGCAGTCAATACTGTAATTCTATTGCATGTAGTTCATTTATCAACTTATTATATCAGGTCAAAGTCTAGGACAGCAAGTAAAGGAAGTGTGCAATGTGAAATATTAATTGTGCAATGTGGAACATCAAATGTGCAATGTGGAACACCACCTGACAATGCATTAACACCGAAGTCAAACCAAGGCCAAGTTACAAGAATGTAATCTTAATTTTGAGAATCTGGTTTACCCCTTTCATAGTCTCCTAAGTAGATCTATACTGCTGATGCCACCTGCATCAAACACAGCTATGTTTTAAGCTCAGCTTCCCCCAGATGGGCTGTGAGCAGTAAATTTTGGCCTAGACATGAGAGAATGGGACTGTGCAGTGTGTGTGCGCAGTATATAAAAAGAAAATCCTGCCCCATGTGGTGCATAATGGGAAAAGCAAATCTCTGACCTTGTGTTTGGTTTAAAATAGCAACAATGAAGTTTTTTTTTTTTTTTTTTAGAATGCTTTTATGATTTTACTGGTTATTTTTTGGTGTCACTTGACAAAATGGAAGACATATTACTGAAACAGAAATGATTATGGTTGGCTTCATGACAGGAAGTAGCTTGAAATCAGGCTCAAAATAGTGAAATACTCGATTTTAGACAATTTTCCTGACCACGAGTAAGGCCCCATCCCTGGCCTGTTGTGTGGGATTTTCTAGGTCTGTTCGAATTAACTCAACACCCTCAACAATGACCAATCATTCCTGGCTATATTTTATTATCCAAGAAGTAAGGAAAAATCTTGTATTTCTTGATGATGATGAATTCAAAATAGAGGACAAATGTAATATAGGAGAGGTATGAGGACGTGATTAATGAAAAGAGAAAATGTTACTTTAGTGCCTGGAATGCACAGTGATCATTTTTTACTTGTTTTTAAATTTGAGCTCTCTTAATTTTGAGTAAAATTAACCAAATTACCAACTTCTGTGTGTAAGAATGGTATACAATACCGACAAGATGAAATTAAGACACATGTGCAACATCTGGGTATCTTTATTGTAGTTGTTTCACCATCCAGTGGCTTCATCAATTTATATTAATAAAGCCACTGGATGGCAAAACGTCTACAAAAAAGATACCCAGATGTTGCACATGTGTCTTAATTTCAACTTCTGTGTACTTTATAGTGTAGTTCTGATAGTTGGATGGCCAGTTTGTAAACTAAATTTAAACACTGGAATTGCTTAAAACAGGAATTAAATATTCTCCACTATGTCAGAAGAATTTTCTTTTTTTTTTTAACTCTCTGACAATATCGGAATTTTTAATTTCATTATCGGAACTTTTAATTTCAGGGGGTCCCAACTGTCAAGAGGGTAAATAAAGATACAGGTCAGCCATCACTAATCCAGTAATCAGTAATCCGGTTCCATCAGTAATCAGGCACTAATTTTGGCTAGCGTAATTTAAAATTTCCAGGGTAACTGCACCAACCTGCTACTACTGTTTGGTGGCACTAGTACTTGCTGCATAAGACATTCCAATTTGTTTTTCTGCATTTGTTATAATCTGCTCACTTTTAGCCCTAGCCATGGTTCCAATGAATAAAGGAAATGTTTCTTGTTGTGTAAAGCGCAAACACAGTTCACTGTCCATAAAAGATAAGGTGGCTTTGAGCTACTGTTGGTCCCATAGCATGACACCATGAGCTCAGCTCTCTCAGATAAGCTGTGAGTGGTAAATTTGGGCCTACATATTAGAGAACAGGTCTCTGTGGTAAGTGTGCATTATATAAAAAAAATTCCAGCAGCATGAAATCCACGAGAAAAAAAAACTGCAACTGTGTTTTTTGTGTAAAACAGTGACTTTGTGGTGTATTTGCGTATGGCTTTTATGGTTGTATTCAAGGTTTTTGGTCTCATTTGACAGAATGGAAGATGTTACAAAAATAGATATGATTTTGATTGGTTTCAGGATGGAAGGTACCTTGAAATTGAGCTCAAAGTAGTGGAAATGTTCAATTTTTGCCGATATTCAAGAGAAAACAAATGATGTCACCGTCCAATGTGTGTCCAAATGGCCAGCCTAATACACAGTCACGAATGGACTGACATTATTTATACAATTATAATAATGCAGTAGTCTGCATAACAGTAAATCTTCTATTTTTTGTGTGAATAAAAATTCAAAATAGAAAGTAAGCATAATAAAAGAGGGGCCAGGGGACATGACTAATGAACACAGAAAATGTTTAGTGCCAGAAATGTCTGCATTGTTTATTCTGGACTATTTTGAAATTGGCATTCCTTGAAATTTGTGTGAAATTGGCCAAATTGCTAATTTCTAACCACTTTATTGGGTAGTTGAAAAGGGTAAATGGGCAGTTTCTTGTACTCAGTCAACAGAATACAAGGAATACTAGCGAAATAGCTATGAGTTTGGTCGACTGGACCAATGAAATGGGCCAAAAATAGGGTGTAAACTGGGTGAAACTGCCAATGCGTAAATATCGCCATTGGGTTAAATGTACTCTAACCTAACCACTTTACAATATGGAAATATCAGTAATCTGGCACCCTTCCGGTCCCAATGATGCTGGATTAGTGATGGTCAACCTGCAGTAATGTTTAATAAAATTGAATACAAACAGAAAATCTATAAAACACAGAACACACACGCACAGTGGTGTGGTGTGTTCTCCTCAGCTAGAGTTGCAGTGACCATCACAGTTCACTATAGTCACTAAGCTGAGTTGTAGCGATCTTCACAGTTCACTATACTCAGTTATCACTATACAGTGATGATAACTGAGTTGCAGTTATCATCACTGTAATTACCCAGTTGCAGTGATTATCACAATTCACGGTAGTCACTAAGTTAACAATTTGAGGGTCGGTCACGTACAAGTATGTCATTGCAGCCAGGGTCAGTCATGTACATTTAGGCCTAAATTCTAGCGCCTTCAAATCTGGTGGAAGAAAGCTGGCAGGCCTACATATGAAAGAATGGGTCTGTGTGGTCAGTGTGCACAGTATAAAAAAAATCCTGAAGCACGCTGTGCATAATGAGAAAAAAAAACTTTGACTGTGTTTTTGGTTGAAAACAGCGACTTTCTAGTGTATTTTCGTATGATATTTGAAAATAGGGCTCAAAGTGAGTGAAATCGCCCCCTTCAAGACCGCTAACTTCACAAGAGCATAATTCTAAGTTTTCCATCAAATTTCACACTTTTGGTGTCATTATGATTGGAAAAAGATTTTTTATAATTTCCCGAGAATTTTTTTTTTTTTTTTTAATTTTTCGACCCTGAGAAAGAGTTTGGGAAAGGGCCTCTCGACCCTCAAAGGGTTAAATTAACAATGAGGCCGACACCTCCATATTCTCTCATACTCTTTGATATGCTGTCATTTTTAACACAAGAGGCCATCTCCTGCCAAGGCAGGGTGAATCAAAGATGAAAACACAGTCACAACCGTTCATTCAAGCTCAGTCTATCCAGAAGTGCTGATATCACAGTCAGATTACCTTCCAACTGCAATATCCTCATCCTTCCTTCAGAGTGCAGACACTTTACTTCCCACCACCAGGATTCAGGCCCTTTTGATATTACCTCAGCATTTAATTATAAAATAAAACAACTAGGCCTATAGTATTTTTCTGTATTATATTAGTATGGAAGTGCTAAACCCATAGGGGTTATTCAGTGCCTGGTAACTGGGAGGTAATCAAGTTTGATCCAAAAAAGGGTAGGTAGCTATAATCCCTGAGGTCAAGAGCCCTACACCAGCATCATGGTACCCTTCTTGAAGGGAAAGACTCAAAATATAGAATGCATCAAGACTCTATAACTAGATTAATATAAAACTAGATACAACCCCTCACCAAGTAATTTTATAAAGGCAAGTGTTATGAAATGAGAATTTCACTATATCATAAAGAATAAAATTGTGCAAGGAGAACTAGGTGACCTTTCAACTCCAAGTCAACACCTACATCTACTCAGTCGGTTGAGCAATGAATGGAGGCTATCCACACACATTACTTTTACACACAGTTACTGAGCAGGTATAACTGTGGACTTCCAACTGCAAGGACACCTTGAGCCACAGCCATCCCCCTCTGGGGGTTGGAACAAAGTGGCAGGTGGGAAACCAGCACCAGCCCTGGCTGGAAGCCACGCTCCACACCCCAATGACCCCATGCCATATCCACCACCCACACAAAATCACCAATATCACCATCTCCACAACCAGCCAAAAATATCCAACAACCACCACAAAACTAAATGTAGAATTGGCCGGAGGATGCACATTTCACTCCCAATCCCCATCAATTTGAAAACACATGAAGTGAAACCCAAACCTAAATTGTACCCTTGGGAATGACACCATTGAACTTGAATTCTTTGATCTTTATTTAAATTTAAACCCCTTTTCCCCCCCCCTGCAAATGCTAGTTTGGAAAACTAACAGGTACAGTGGACCCTTAACTAATGGCAACATCATCTAACACCAAAATCGACTAACAGCTCTCTTTGGCGTCAAAATATTGGCTCTAACAATGCCGAAAAACTCGTCTAAAGGCTTTCGTCCTGAGTGGGCCCAGCCACTACAAGACTGTGTAAAAGCCATGTCCCCATTGTTTACAAAGCCATTGTGGTCGATTCCATGTGTACATGTGATATATTTTTTATTATTCCATTGTTTTTAGTGGGTTGTAACTGCTAAGTAAGCCACCATGGGCCCAAAGAAGGTTTCTAGTGCCAGCCCTGTGATAAGGAAG